TAACATAATGATATTGACACAATTACAGAAAGCAAAAAACTCTGCATTTTTAAAGACTTTCCTCCCATTATTTTCTCCTCCCATCTCCCAGCTCACCAGAATGTATACACATAATGAAAAATAACAAGTCTCTGGGGAAAAATTAACAAACGTGACAATTTCTAATTAGTGTGCTAAGGGAAAGTATAAGAAAATAAATCCTCCGCACAAGAATATGACAAATTTAACTAGTTACTTAAAATATCATAGAAAAAAAAATTTATATGCCATCAATTTTAGGATTTAAAACACAACTTTTTAAAACTGTTGATAAATCATACATTTCTGGTTTTAATTTAAATAATATAAATGAGCCATATCAAAATATTCATCATTATTTTAGAAACAGTGAAGTATTTAACCTTTGAAAAAGGATTACATGAACTGTTAGGAAGAATAATGATTAATACATTCAGGAACTTGACATCTCTTCCAAACTGAAAACAGGAAATGCGTTCACTCCGAGCACCTTCTGAACACCATTTTTCATCTTTATGATGAAAAGCAAAGTTCATTTCTCTTAAAATAATTGTTTGGGGAATATTTTATTTTTAGACTACATCTTTTTAAATTCAAGAAAACATTCTTGTTCATCTTTAGCACGTTCCTAAATATTTTTCAGGAATCCAGTGACACCAATTTATTAATAAATCTGAGACATGAAACATAAAAATCTCCTTCAGTCACTTATATGTCAGCACGGTTTGAACAACTGGGGTTGTAGGTGAGCTTTACGTGTAAAATCTTAAGGTTAATGTATGCTCCATGGAACACAGATTTATGCCATCTGTTCCCAAAGCAATGTAAAATTCTATAATCACTTGAAACCTCAATAATGCAAAACAGCCCTTATAATACACTGATGTTTAAATTGTTATGTCCATAAATACTTATCTCTGCAAACTGGATCTCAACATAAAATTAATTGTTCATGTTTCAGATTATATGCCATACCTGTTTACTTTCTAGAGTTTGTTCATAGATAACGAAGGAAGAACATGACATCCTCTTTAACCCAACTACTGTTTATTTTCTTCAAATTCTAAATATGTTTTCTTATTTTTTACTAGGTATAAATGTGTGACTTCATGTTTCAGAGTATAAGTTTCTCATACCCTTAAAGTCTCAAAGATATTATCTTTGGTTGCTATCTCTGGATAACTATAATTTGTTTAAGCTATCACCAAATGTCATAAATTCAGTTTATTTTCATATTTTTTTACTATTATAAAAACGTTCCAGTAGACATTCTGATACCAATCTCTACTTATTTTCTTTGGATAAACTTTTAGAAGTAGAACATTTTGATAAGAGGATATAAACACGTCTGAGGTCTGATAATGTCAAATTGCCCCCCAAAGGAGACATACTAATTTCCAATTTTGTCCAGTAATCTATACAATATCCTATTCTCCCACATATCTAACACTAAACATACAATTTTCCTAATCTTTGCTAAGTTTTCATAATTTTTAATTGCATTTACCTTACTACTAATTTGTCAAACACTTTTCTATCTTTATTGGATTTTTATCAGTCTTTTAGGAATAGTCTGTTTATAGCCTTTGTCTGCTTTTCTATTGGCTTGTTTTGGAAATATTTCAGTATAGTAACGAATTTATGATTTAAGAACTGACATTTCACAGAGGAAAAATGATCAAGAATGTCACAGAAGATAAATTGCAGGTTACACTCTGTTTGTGATTGTATCGTGCGGCACAGAAAGTTATCTGCCAAGAATCAAAAAGACAAGAAGCACGAGAGAAGCATATGGAATAAGGTGCTGTCCATATTCCCAGTTCATCCCTCGCATACCTACCCCACCCACTGAGATTTCTTGTCATTAGCTGTTGTGGAAAGAGAACAGATTGAATGAGTTGTGAATTAAGATCCTCTCACAAATAATTGTACAAAAAGCCCTGCAACAGAGGGTAGCATATCAGTTGCCACAAAGATAAGAATGCTTTATGCAGGCAAAGACCTTTGAACAGCTAAAGACAGAAGCCTCTTGATACACACTCAGTACAGTGATCTACTTTATCATTCATTCAAACAGATTTTTTCTCTTCATCAGGGCATCTTTTCATTTTACTTGCCATTCAAAACACCAGGACACAAAGGATGCTCTTCATCTTGTGTGCAACTGAAATGAAATCTTGAGGTAGAAAAAAGGAAAAAAATCCTTGCCCTAAATTCCCTTTCAAAAGTGAAGTGTGAAAAGACATCAAGCAGAGTACACAGTGTTATTGTTGCAGGAAAGTCAATTCTGCAAGTACAGAGTCCAAGGCCATCAGCCGCGGCTCAATCACTTCCTCACCTACAGCGAATATTAAGAAAAATCCAAGGAGAAAGGCTTCCACTTGGGGAAATGGAATTTCTCATTGTCCTTCCTCTTGATTATCATGAACATCTATGGGCACAGCTGTTTCCTTTCTCGGAATAATCCTAAAGTCAATGCTATAATATTGGCTCCCTTCTCCCAGCTCCCCAGGGCCTATTAGACATCACCTCGTGTCCTATTCTGAGCAGCAGAAATTTCAAATTTATCTTTTCATTAAGCAGCAAACCAGAACATCTATTTGCTTTAATTTGGTACTTAGAAGATTAAAAATTATTTTAAAAATGTTTTAGCCCTGAAAACTTGGTCTTATTAAACTTTCACGGATATGTAAATGCATTTTAATTGTAAGGTATAAACAACGTTATTATAAAAGATCATCAAAATCAAAGGTATTTGAACAAAATACTCAATAGTGATTATATTTAAATTCTCATAGACTTTCCTGTTATAAAGTCATTTTTTTTTTCAAACAGGGTGAAGAACTAGGCCATCTCAAAATTCTTCTTGACATATTTTGTATGCTGTAGAATACCTACTTATATACCACAACCATTATGACATACATTGCGTTAGGCTTTGTTGTTTCAAGATAAACGTATTACTTATTGTCTAGATAGGCTTTTAACAAGCCATCCAGGTAAATAATATAAATTCAGTTCTCATCAGGAACTTGGGCTGGGGTGATATTTACTCCAGAGAAAATGTTATTACTAGATTGACTCTTCTTGGTTTCCAACTAAAGTTTTATTAGTTCAAGTAACAGAAAAACTCATGAACGATGAAAAAATTGAGACAAGATCACATTTACGTTCATGGTAATCCACCTGGCCTACAGTCATCACTTGAAAAATGCTTCTTTCATAAAAATCTGTACAATGAAGAAATTAATAAACAATAAAGCAGTTTCCCCATGTGTCAGATTTTGGTAATGCAGGGCAATCCAGAATTTTAAATCATGATGTTATCTATCCACACACAATAGTATAGCTATGTACAGGGTGGGGCAAAAGTAGGTTTATAGCTGTGAGTACACAAAACACAGTTTATTCTTGTATCATTATATATTAATTACTGTATTATTTCCCATATGAATAATTGTAAACCTACTTTTGCCTCACCCTGTATATTAGTAACTATTTACTAGTTCTTTCAAGAACATGTTTTCACCCTGGCTGGTTTGGCTCAGTGATTGGAGCATTGGCCTACAGACCAGAGAGTCCCGGGGTTCAGTTCCCACTAGGGGCACGTACCGCCCCCCCCCAAAAAATAACATTTTTTTCATAAATAATTTCTCCACATTCCCTTCTTATAATCCTCCACTCACAGACTGTCCTATTAACCTAAAAGTTAAAATTTATCTATAAAATTAATATTGGACTTAAAAAGAGGTCTATACACACACACACATCTTCCACCAAGTATGTTTTACTTAAATGTGAGGAAATGGTAAGAACAAAGCCCATTCATATAATGAACACTTAAGGAGCACACTATTCAACATAGAATGCTATTGTGCAATTATTCTTATTTATTCTTTTCTTTCAGGTACAAAATGTTCTCCTAGTTTAAATTCATATATTTTTCTTCTCTGCTGAGATAATTCTCAGAAACTTGATGACATCTTTTCCATATCACAGCAGTTCCTCTTAGTACAAATACAAATATCCTTAAGCACAAAAAAATGAGGAAGATTTTGGCTGTTACCATCAATTTCCCAGGTTCAACACGGGAATATTGCTTTGTGAGCCCAGGGACATAGGGTATTTTGACTGTTTGGAAGGCAATGTGTATACTTGTTCTCTCTCAAGGATGCTCCGCTTACTTTGATGTTAATATTTGGTATTATGTGATCTTGTGAACTGATGTTTTAAAGCCTCAGGCCAGAGAACGAAAGCTTTCTCCTCCCTAGATGTCTGTCTCCTTTCTTCACTCAGTTCTATTTGAGTAATGTGGAAACACTGAAAACTCTATGTTCTGTCCCAAGGAAATGCAAAAGCTCATTCTATGGTCCTGGAAGTGGATTCGGCAAAATTCAATCATAAAACAAAACAAGACACACACACACACAAAAAACCCCATAATCATCTAGGTAGGTCTGGACACTGAGATATCTGTCTTTCATTTCATCATCTTTAATTACTCCAATCTCCTACTGCTTGACTGATTAACTCACTAAAATAAATACATTACTTAACAAACTTCAATTTCACCATGAGAACTTATGGGAAATGATGTTTTCCTACCTCTGTATCTGTGAAAAGGCAATAATCACTCATGACTGAAATACATATAGCTGCTACCTTTGTAGTGCAGGTTAGAGCCTGGTGGTAAAATTGAACCCTACATTTTCCAAATATCCCCCTATTCTGCACTGTATTTACTTGATTTTATATTGGAAACAGTTGTGCTATTTACATTCCTATTTTTATGCACAAGAGATAACCAATAGCAAAAGGATGTGCATTTTATTACCTTCAAAAACTTGTTTACAACAAACTACACATTTTTTAAAGGTGATCTGTAAAATGACATCACACAGAAAGTTACTTTTGATCGTTATACTGACAAATACAATAATTTTACTATTTTATTAGTTAAAATTCTGAAAAAAAATACATACCCAAACCTTCTGATTCAAATAGACATGTTTCATCTACCCCTAAATCTCGGCACCAGGATAAGAAATTTGCTGTGTTGTCTCGTGCGAAAAAGGAGCCTGAGGGTGCACTGGCTTTGCATGGAATCTTCTTCAAGGGCAGATTCTGAAAAACAAAGACATCTCACTCTGGAGAAATTCTGGCAAAGTCATTACAGAGACACATTAAATACACATTTACGTTTTCAACAGAATGCTTTGGGATGACCTCATGTCAATAAAGAGGTTAGTAAAAAACTATAGAAAAGGAAGTGAAATGTAAAAGAATCTTAGCTGGCATTAGGTGACTATAAAAATCTGTGCCCGTACACATGCTTTTTAGTATTTAAAGGTAAACATACATAAATCCCTACCCTGGCTCAGATGGCCTCTTTCCTTTCTCTTCCATTATTTTTTGCCCTTCTCTTCTATCTAAGTATTCCAGCAGTATTTCTCACAAAGTATTTATAAATGTATTTCTCATTTGTGAAAGAAGAATAAAACACTAATATAGGATATGAATATGTAAATTTATATATAGCACACATCTGCATTCTTATGCACATATGTACACACACTATAAAAGTTACACAGAACTATGAACTCAAAAAGAGAGTAGCGGCATTAACATCACAGGTTTTCAGCACCAATACCAAGAAAAAAATAAGAAAAGTATTTTAAAAACTATATTCTACCATCTTCCTTCTAGATTATTCCCTTTTAAACCACAGGGTATTGTGATATTATATGGTATAAAAATCAATCTGGTTGGATTTCTGCTACCTGATCTTAAAACATATTGCTTAAGATATGGGAGTGTGTGAACATCTACAGACTTTTCTATTAACAGTTTCTCATAATTTTAGGCAGGAAATCTCCCTTGGCACTATACCAAATGTTACAATGAGTTGTGTGGGGTAATATCCTCACCCGAGGACACTTTTTTTCCATTTTTTGCTCAGACAGAGTGGGAGGGAGAGAGAGGAAGAGAGAGAGAGAAAAAAACATCGACGTGAAAGGGACACATCGAGTGGCTGCCACCCGCATGACCAACCAGGGCCGGGGACAAACTGCAACCGAGGTACGTGCCCTTGGTGGGAAGCGAACCCGGGTCTCTCTGGACCGCAGGCCTGACACTCTAACTGCTGAGCCAAACCGGCCAGGATATAACCAGTCTCCATGGCATTGCACAAAGTCATACAATGAGACTCTGGGAAAGGCTGAGCCATGAATTTGGGTGACTTGGGCTACATAGAGCTTTGCCTCCGAGAGACAAAAGATCAAAGAGAAGCACTTTGTGATGCTTCCTCTATTCATTGTGAATCAGCAAATATAACAAAAATGTTGTTAACTGTTGAGCCCACATACGAGGATGGTTATGAAAAATGATATAGTGTCCCATTAGTGAACTGGTGAAATCCTGCTAACATCAAACTACTACGAGACTTCTTCATGGGAAGGTATTGTAGGGCTAGACAACTAGAATACTCAGTTACTGTATCAATTCAAGGCTTTGTTAATCCATCTCTTTGTTGCTGACTGAATTTGATTTAGGGTAAACACAATTAAAATCTTTGCATGAATACACAAATAGTTATACAGATATATACTCTAGGTATTACACATAAGTATATAAATTTTAAAATGGGGTAACCTATATAGCAATACCCCTTTAACCATTTTGGTTAAGTAATAGTTTTCAGAGAAATACTTTTGTATATGAATTATAAGCACAATCAGAAATAGAGTATAATAAATACTTTGTAAAATATTCACAAACATGATTAGTCAGTATTTATTAAAATTAAAATACATATATCCTTAAATCTAGCAATTCACTTTTAAAAATATATCCTACAATGCCTGGCAAGTTTGGTTCAGAGATTAGAACACTAGGCTGGGGACCAATGAGTCATGGGTTTGATTCCAATCAAGGGCACATTCCTTGGTTGCTGTTCGGTCCCTGGCCCTGGTGGAGGTCATGTGGGAGGCAACCAGTCGATGAGTCTCTCTCATGTCGATGTTTCTCTCTCCTCCCCTTCCTCCTATTCTATCTGAAGATAAATAGAAAAATATCCTCAGATAAGGATTAAAAAAAAAATCCTACAGATATAATAGCATTACTGCTTTAAAGTGTATGTCTAAGTATATTTGTTGCAACAATGACTGAACAAAAAAAACTGAAATAATATGTCAAGAGGGCTGGTGAAATAAAATGTAGTATACAAATACAATGTAACTTTATGAAGTCATTTAAAAAGAATAAGATGAATATATATGCATTGAACCATAAAGTTATTAATTATATACTCTTAAGCAGAAATAATAATTTGAAAATGGAGATATATATATAACTATTTCATTTTTATGATGTGTGTGTCAATATACACACAAAATAGATGAAGTTAAATTGCATATAAATATGTTGCATTATAAGTATAAATATTGTATTTCTTTATACTACGTTATTTTAGGAAAAACTCAAGAAAGACATGCATCAAAACAATAGCAATTATATTTGAGGAAGGTGATTGATGCATAAAGGATCATTTACTTCATATTTTACATAATTCCAAAATAAGTCATAGGATTTTGAGTGAATTCTCAATATTTTCAGATTAAATAATCAAAATAAGTAAATTATGTCACCCAGAACATTTTTTTAAAAAAATGTGTTAGCTAAAACAAAATCTCCAAGGTAACTAACTACTTTTTATATGGTGATTACAGCAAAGATCATCTTTAAGAATAGAAATAGATCCAAACACTGAGCCATTTTAATATCTATCACTCTTTCCCTGGGTGGGGAAAAAATAACCTGTGAAACCACTTCAAAGGGATAAACGCATTTGAATAGGACCTATAAAATATTTGACATAGCTAAGGGCAGGCAAAAGGACATGAGGAGTGTGACGCATGGCACAAAGAAATACAATATCCATATTGCCTGAAAGAAGCTAGAGATTGATTTGACTCTTATCCACCAAGGGACACATTTTGAGAGAATACGGAGAAGCAGCAAGTCCCCCAAGTTGTTCATCCTCCTTTTTAAGAACTTCCAAGGGCAAGCACTGAGTATATAAATAAAAAAAGTGTTTTGTTTTGTTTTTCCTACTTACAAGCCCGTGGTCCTTACAAAGACATCTACATATCATATACTAAGCTCTAAGTATTTATTTAAAATGTGTTCATATTGAAAGGCATGATAGTTATTTTAGGGCAAATACAATTAAAGCTGGCTACCGATACTTTATAACGTGTGAATTCTCAGTGCAGAGGAATTCATCAGTAACTGATCTAACAACTTGGCATTTCAGTGATTTATGGAGTATTTGTTTCTGTTCTGGAGCTGTTAGATTTAGTGCTTCCACATCAGCTGGAGACTAGAAACTGTAAACAGTGTGAACGGAAGCTTTCAATCTTCATCCAGATGAAATTTTTTTTTTTTTAGTAAAATGTTTTAAAAGTCATCCTCATTAGTCTAAGTGACTAATGAATCCTTACACACAGCACCTATAAAGGCCATCTCATACACCAGGAGGAAGGATTTCTGCTCATTGGCCGAGAGCAGTAGCGCATAGCTTGTAGGATCCAATATTCTTCCTGATTGCACACCAACCAAAGAGCAAAGGGTCAAGGGTCTGCCTAGGGTTGACGTGCCATTTATAATTAAGAGTCTTAAAGCAGAAGTCTGATTTCACTTGAAAAAAGATCAAATAATTCAATAACAGAAACTTAAAAGCATTTTGACATATTTTACACAAAAATATTATAAAGTTCTGAAAACCTTAGCAATTACATCTTTTCCAGTTCTATGATTTTTTTAAACTGTTAATTTCTCTAGGTTCTCATGAAAATCCTGAAAAAAGCCAGCTCTGTCTAAATCTCTTCTTTCATATCAGTCAATAAAATAAATACAAAGTGAAATGTTGAATAAAATCAAATTTTACTTTGCCGAGGGCATTTTGAAGAAGAGGTTTAGAATAGAGAACTGTCCTGAGTAATTATGGTGTATACACTTGAACAGCTGAAAACTGGTCAAGACATGGAGAGGGACACTTCAGATCTAAAGAACTAGGGATTCAAAAGAGAAACGCCACACACAGCTCATCTGATATATCTTCCATATTAGTTTTCCCTTTTTTGCTCAACTCTCCAAAGAACATCTACATTATTTAAATTATATACCATCTTTAATTATTTACTCATATTAGCTTTTTTAGGCAATGCTGTTATATATTATGTCCTCAACACCTGACTGATGAATGCGTGAATGAACAATTAGACTGGACCCCTCAAACTAGATCGTACTCAACGTGATAACAGGAGCAAAGATGGTATGAAGGATTTTACATTCTCCAGGGATATGCTTCTAGGGCCTTCAAACTTCACTAAATTCATAGTATTATTATACATAAAATGCTTCCCATGTATTAAGAAATGCATAACTGAAAAATAAAATAACATCTACTTTTGAAAGTTACTGAATACAGAATGATGAGTGGAGAACAACTGTGGAGCTGAATTGAGATTGGGTGGAAATTTAGGCTCATTTACTCACCAGCAAGGATCATGCTACCAAACTCCAGCCTCCAGTGTGGAATTCAGTATTTGTGTCAGCAAAATGAGAAATGACTACCAGTAAACCACTGGGATCATGTGCAAGTAGTCAATAGGAGGTATATTAACTTTCCTAATACCAAGCGTCTTAAGTTTATCCTTTCCTCTCTCTACAGGAATTACCTAAGATATATACTCTTGGCCCCTAAAATACTTACAGATTTGATGATTAACAAGGAAATGGTTTGAATTCCAAAAATGTCTTCCCCGTGCCCTCAGGAAACAACCAAGTTAGGATGCAATAAAAAGAAACATTTATATTTACTTCTAAAGGCTTTTGATTCAAACCATTACCATGTAGGCACTTGCTAGGGCTTTGGAGTCCATTACCTGAGTTCAAACTCAGCTATGTCATCTTCTTGCAATGATATATTTGGGCACATTAGTTAATGTTTCTGTGCTTCAGTCTCCTATTCAATGAATATAGAAAATGATGTATTTCATTGACTATGCATATATGAGTGGGAATTAAATAATATAAATCAGGTGTAGAAGTATTCAATAAAG